AATCTTGGTGATATCTGTCAGTCCATATTCTTACTTTTAGTTTTACACTCTTAAGCATATCTTTTAAATTTATGTTTTGTTCTTCATCACTACATGTAGTTTCTTGTACTCTTACTGCTTATTATTTTAGCTTGCATCCATAATTTCGTAACTGCCATCTGTACTGCAATAATGTTCTTGAACTAAATTTAATGTAGATGCAAGAATATCCATTAAAATTATTTATCGCTATTAGGGATATTTTTCCTTTAATTTTTTTATGCCCCCGCCGTAGCGGAGGGGGCATTAAGTTTTACCATTGTCCGTCCGTTCGTCCGTACGTTCCAAAATTAATTTCCGTTCTCTAACTTTAGTTTGCATCTACCAAATGTTATGAAAATTAAACATTATGCTTATTACCACAAAACATAGATCAAGTTTGAATTTTGGTGGCGTCACTTTTACCGTTCTAGAGTTATGTTCCTTTACAAATGAAAAAAATGCTGAATTTGTCGTGTCCGTTATCTTACTTTAGTTTGCCTCAACCAAATGTTATGAAACTTATGCACAATGCTTATTACCACAAAACACAGATCAAATTTGAAATTGGGTGGCGTCACTTTTACTTTTCTAGAGTTATGCCCTTTACAAATGGAAAAATTGCTGAATTTTTCATTTCCATTCTCTAACTTAAGTTTCAACCTATACACAATGCTTATTACTACAAAACACAAATCAAGTTTGAAGTTTGGTGGTGTCCCTTTTACCGTTCAAGAGATATGCTCCTTTAAAAATGGAAAAATTGCTGAATTTTTTGTTTCCATTCTCTGACTTAAGTTTGTCTCAACCAAATATTATGAAACTCATACACAATGCTTATTACCACAAAACTCAGATCTAGTACGAATTTGGGTAACATCACTTTTACCGTTCTTGAGTTATGTCCTTATATGACATTATATGCAAGCGGGGGCATCATCTGTGTCCAATTGGCACATTCTTCATTTATTTTGATATACTTTTTCATATCATGCTACTCCCTTGAGATAGAAACTTAATCTCAGCCACATCTCATCTCAGGGCTGTGGCCCTTCAATGAGATTGTAGCTGAGAAACACCCACTTGTTTGAAAAACCATCGATAGTCTATAAGTACATTATAATCATGAAATTCTTATAATTTTCAGTATATACACAGTATAAATACAATGAAGAGACTACTAATGGAAGCACAAACAGATTATTATGCGTATTACAGGTATGTAAAAAATCCTATTTTATACTCACCTGGTTGCAATTGCATCCACTATCTGTCAGAAGGAACTATCCAACATTAACTTGCAAAAGTCTTTTCTTTCGAAATTATCTATTCTCAGATGTTGTTGTTTGTCTGTTCAAACTTAATACAATACGTGGAATTGCTGTTATTGACTGTCTTCAGGAAATTTCAATTCTTGGAATATTTGTTTAAAATATCTACATTGTTCTTTCAAGAACATTGTGTTGTCATAGGTTTTGTACTTTTCCATATTTTACTTTTAAGAAAACATTTCTTGTTTATTAGTTTTGATGCCCCTGCCGTAGGCGACGGGGGATTAAGTGTTACCCTTGACCGTCCGTTCTTCCGTCTTTCCGTTTTCGTATGTCCGTCCCATTTTCGTTGCAAAGCTTGAGTGGGGGCATTCGTGCCCTCAGACACATTCTTCTTTTATTTTTGTATGTTTTTTTTAAATTTAAATTTCAACATATGAAAGAGAACACATGTTTTTTATTTTCCTTTGATAGTCCTTTATTTTAAATTACTCATTGAAGAAGAATTGGAAATCTTTCTAATAGGGTGACAATAGACGTGTTGATAAAATATAATTATGTCTTGACTTATTCATTTCTTTTTCAGAGCATACAAATTTATCATGAACTCAGGAAATTCAGAGATACTGTTGAGTTATGCACATTTAGATGCGATTGCCGAAGTGACAGATGTGTTTACAGATTTGAAAAACTATCTCTTACACATCTCATATTTGTTTTTACATTTAATTAATTTATATTTAACATTTCAATAACATTTTATGAAACTTAGTGTGACTTACCATAGACAGATATCTATTTTTCTTGATAACTGCTAGCGGTTAGATTGTGTCTTGAAAAATACTGGAATTTAAAACGGTATTTGTTCTCAAAATTGTCTGATTACATTTTAAAACCCCATTACCTGGAAAATTCACCATTACAGATATAGTATTTGCAAGTGACTTTTGAGAATTATGATTCACTGATATTTTATGGAAAAAGAATATGTTCTTTTTTTTCATTTTGCCTTTATGTTGTAATGTTCACTTGTCACACATAACTGTACATTAACTGAAAAGAAATGTTACTAAAGTTTTTGAAGGCTGTTAGCTGTTAAATATGAACACTGGTTTGGTAATTCACATCTTTCACCCCATAAGCATAGACACAATGTTCTGTTACTTTCAGTATAGGACATGGGTAACTAGTATTTTATGAAACAATTGCCGATTGTTATTTGTCAAACAAGTGAAAATTATTTGTCACTTCATATTGAAACGTTTTATGCCATATCTGGAGTCTTGAACTATGACAAAGTGTTTAGAAAATGTTTTTCATTTCAAATATCATATAAGGAATGGATAGTCATAACTGAAGGGAAAAGCATACATTCCATTGGGTTGAAAGAGAGGTTGTTATCCAGAAGGCCGTAGAAGGGTTTATTAATTGAATAGAAGTTCAATTACTCTATAAGATATTTCTGTTAAATAGCTTTCTTGATAGCAACAACCCTTTGCCAAAATAAAATCATGATAATATTTGGTTCATAGAATAATAAAGAAATATTAAAATTGGTCAGACAGGAGTCGCATTTTCTCGATTCATGCCTTAATGGTCGACATTATGTTTTTAGAAACTGTCCTTTGAAGGCTATTTGAGCTTATGCCAGCATTTAAAGTTCATCTTAGTCAAGCGATGGTATTTTTTCCCCTCTGAAACCAAGAAGACAAATATTTTGAAACTTGGCTGTAAGTATGGAACACCTGTCATATTGCTCCTATTCGATGAAAACATGGACACCACAGATAAAAATTGACTGCAGATTTTGGTTTATGTTTAATTTGTTTACTACTGGAATCTCTTAAAAGCTTTTGATGTCCTTTGTCATGATACTCTACTAGACACATTATTTGATCAAAATATTGACCCAGATCGTCGGGAAATTATTATACTATCATTACCTCTAAAGTTAAATGGAAAAACAGATTTAGTAGCAGCTTTCCTGTATATCAGGGCGTCAGCGAAGGGTTGAATACTCTCTACTCACCTATACAAGCTGCACATTAATGACCTATTCAAAGAACTAAAAGAAAATGGTATGGGCCAATACATCAGCACAAACTTTACTGGATGTCCAACCTGTGCAGACGATATCCTATTAGCACTAATTGAGGAAGAAATGCAAGCTATGCATGACACATCTAAAAGTTATTCTGATAAAAATAGATATAAAATACACCCAACCAAACGTGTTTCAATAAATAAAAATAATAATCCGAAAAGCCCTAAAGCTCAAGGGAAATTCAAACTGAATGATAAAACTATGCCAACAGCAAACCAAGGGACACATCTGCAAAATAGGACCAACACAAAACAAACAGTACATGGTACAAATGGATTAAACCCTAAAACATCATATATGAGATACAGAGTATATGTTCTGCCCAGTTTCTTATACAGTTTAGAACTATTGCTGTTAAGTTACTCAGAGACTCCCATGTAAATTATCTAAAACTAATGCAAGCACTACCTTCACAAATAGCAATTTCAGCAGTATATTTACTTTTGGAAAATTAATCTGCAAAGAGACACCAGTTACAAACCAACACTGAAATTCATTTGTATCCCCAATCTAGACATTGGTTAATCTCATACTATCTGGAACAGTTTACCAGCTAATATTGGCAAGATCAGGAAAACAACAATAAAGTAAGGCTATGTACCGTAACATATATATTTTAAGCACAAAATATAAATCTTTATGCTACATGCCCAACCAATCAATTGGAAGAAGATATACATTTTTTAACTGTGTCCAGCTTTCGAAGGAATACACCGATATTCACTTAATACTATCAGAGACTAACCACCTGTAGAATAGGGTTAGGACACTAGAGTTCAAATTTGCATGAGAGAGCAAGTATTGCTTAGCTGATTTATGATTATCAACGACTGGCCATGCCCAATATTCTGCCTCAGGATGAACTCTTCCTGAATACAATGGAGAAACAATGAAGGAACCTATTATCACTTATGGTATAGACTACACTTGAACATAGTGTCCTTTATAAATAATTAGGATTCACAAGTTCAGTGGTTGTTTCGCGCTATACCTTTAATTTTTCTTACCGAACGTGTGAGACCCTCATGGGTAGTCAAGGCTTTTAAACACCCCCTAGTTGTAGTACTTTTATTTTTTTTTAAATTCTTAAAAAAATAAAACAAATCAAATCAAGTAATTTTATTGGTGTAAATTCCAATACAAGAATGATACCAACTGACATTTACAACATACAAAACCATACAAATACAACAATAAACAACACTTGTACAGAGACATATTTTTTTCTCAATGATAAGAGACGCACATTTTTTTATATACATTGCTGGAGGTGTTATTCATACTTTACTAACAACATAATACAATCAGCCTTAACAATACAACAGTTCTTAACAACTTTATGTTTGATTTAAGTGAAGGTTCGTATCATGTATATCGTTTATCCCAGCTACACATACAGTAAATATGTCAGCATCATTATTTTTCCAAATGAAACTAAATATATCTTGTTCAGACAAATAAAAAAGATGGAACTATATCACTTAAATTACAAAAAAAGATTATATATTTCTGCTAGTGCTTTACATTTAATAAGAAAATGGCATGTAGACACTCTATAGACATAGCGCATAAGTAAACATAAAAGACAAGAATACAAAATATGAACCATAGCTCATTGTTGAAGGCCGTACGGTGACCTATAGTTGTTAATTTCTGTGTCATTTGGTCTCTTGTGGAGATTTGTCTAATTGGCAATCATACCACATCTTCTTTTTTATATAGCACAATAACACAATGGCGGGATGTACAAACTATCGTAATATGGTTCAAAATTTACGGACAATATACATTGCGTCTTTTACAGAGATTACCCCCAGTTTTTGGTGGGGTTCGTGTTGCTTAGTCTTTAGTTTTCTATGTTGTGTCATCTGTTCTATTATTTGTCTGTTTGTCTTTTTATTTTTGGCCATGGCGTTGTCATTTTGTTTTCGATCTTTGAGTTTGACTGTCCCTCTGGTATCTTTCGTCCCTCTTTAACAGTGTATGTCCTACAAAATGATACGCAATTCCGCTAATCACCATGTCTATTGGTATTTTGAGTAAAGATTGATAGGGGCTTACATTAGCCAATAATGATAATAAAAGTACAAAGAGACATAAAGATCTATTGAACTTCATAGTGTGACCAGGCAATACTTTTAATTTTGGAAAACTCTTGTAGATAACATCGTATTTATATTTTGACCAAATTGAAAGGCATGGATGATCAACATTGAGTTATTTGCCAGACGTAGGTAATTACAGGAGAAAATGACTTCAAGACTGATGTTTTTAGACGAAACGTGCGTCTGGCGTGCACATTTTTAACCCTGGGATCTATGATGAGTTTATTTGGTTGTATACGGTACAGAAATTTTAAGGTTGTTACATACACAAAAATATGAACATTAGCTTATAATATATATTTTAAAATCTGTTAAATCATTGCTAATACTTATGTCCCTCTTCTTGCAGTTTTCTGGTATTCCTAAGTACCAGTTTAGTTATCTGTCCGATGTTGTCTACATCCTGAGCAGTATCCAGTTCATTTCTAATATTTTTTATCTGAGAAATCACCTTTATTCGTTCGATTTTCTGAATTATAAATATCTATGTTAGAAAATTACATTATTCATATCATCTGAATTGTATAAGATGTAAGAAATATTTCATTGTAAGCCTAGTAGAACCATAGGGAAACATTGAAATTCTATGTTAGATTTATTTGTATGTTTGTTTGAATTTTTTAGTCAGTTGTATTGTATGTCTGTGATGTATGTTTACACAGTTATGGCTGCTGAATCCCAATTATTGTAACATTAACCTTTTATGTATGTTTAGGTAGCTCACCAAATTTTGTCAATATAACGGAACTAAACACAACTGTCATACAAGTGGGGGTTTTATCTAGCTGCAAAACCACGTTTATCTCACCATTTTCGTCGGAAAATGCCTGCAATAAGTCAGCAATATGACAGTTGTTTTTCACTTGTTCCGTTGGTTGATAACGTTTGACTTTGTCAGTTTTTATGGACTTCAACGTTTTGAATTTACCTTGGAGTTTTGTATTTTTGTTATATTTGGTACAAAAGAATATCTTTTAAAGATAATTCTGTAAAAAGGGGTCAAGCAGACAAAACGCAGACATGATACATTACCTTTATATAGATATAAGAAGATATGGTATGAGTGCCAATGAGACAACTCTCCATCCAATTTGTTCTACAACTTTACACCAAAGAATAGTTCAACAAATGAAGATTATAAATTTATTTCATTTCATTCAGATTTCATTTAAACAAATTGTTCATTCAACTTCGTTCTCACACCAAAATTTATAAGAAACGGACAAATTACCTTGCTTATTTTTATTTAATTTTCTCAACTGTGATACATTCTAATACTTTCATTAGTATGAAACATTTCCGCCACCAAGGAGAATATAGGTATGTTCTTATAGCTTTAAGGGTTATCTCAAATATAGAATATTTGTGTCGAAGTAAAATTCCACTCACAGGAAATCAAATAAAAAAACGGTTTTTCAAATCAACCTTTCATTATAATAATATTCCTGAAATTTAAGAACTATCCATTTTATTTTGTCTTCCGAACATTATTGATACAGGTTATTATAATTATTGCCGTATTAAATTTTGTGAAGTTGATGTACGAAATCTAAAGGCACGATTTCAACATGATACTTGAGTTTGTTTGTCGGTATAATTATTATATTATTATTTGATACTATATTATAGACTATATATTATTACTTTACTACATAATAAAAAGTAAAATCACAAAAATACTGAACTCCGAGGAAAAATCAAAACGGAAAGTCCCTATTCAGATGGCAAAATCAAATGATAAATCACATCAAACGAAATAAAATATTGTTTGCGGTGATCCATTTGGGTGGTAAAATACCCCTCAATTCATCAAGAGTAAGGAGAGATATACAGATAATGTGAATACACAGAACCCCGATTCAATCCATCCTTTGCTAAAAATGTTACATTTTTGATTGTTTTTTTCTTGTCTAAAAACGCCTATTTTTTGTATTATTTCCATTTACTAATTAACAGCTGGATATCCTCATATTAACGACATTATTGTAAAATTAAACGCCCGATGATTAGACATGATTTTCTGGAACTAATGTATGTTGGGAAGAGAGACACACAGATAGAACTAGGTCATCGGTCCACAGGTGAATCTGAACAACTTTAACACTAACGTATTGGAAAGCACATTTTTCTTTCCAATTCTGAAGTGAGTCTTTATCTAGACCCCAGTATTGATTATCGATCGAGTTGAGGTCGTATCAGTATTTCAAAAGTTACATACATGTACCTCCCTTGCAAGCATGCGTTATAATTTTTTTACGCAACCTGATAGATACTGAACCATCGCCACTCAGAAAGTAAGTACTCTGATTAGGTTTTATCCGAAATTTACAAGCCAATATATATTATGTATGCCATTCTTATGTATGTTTATAATTTATTTTTCACCGAAATATGGTTAAATAAAGTTCGTATTTGTTTTTGCTCATTCCTTTACTCCTTTTCCCTACCCCCTTACTACTAGACAAAAACCGGTCAAATTTTTTTCAGTGCTTTCCTTTTTTTTTAACTCTCCCTGTTCTCCAAGTTCTTGACTTCCGCTTCCCACCCTTAATTCCCATGTTCAGATCGGATCAAGGATTTTGAAAAATGGGAAGGGGGACCTAAGGGCCACCACACTAGGCAACGTTTGGAGTGGAACAGGTAAAAAATCTAATTAACCATAAATGTAGGTCCATTAGGGGGGACCAGAGATCCCTGGTCCCCCTAAATAAAGGCAACAGTAGTATACCGCTGTTCGAAATTCATAAATCGATTGAGAAAAAAACAAATCCGGGTTACAAACTAAAACTGAGGGAAACACATCAAATATAAGAGGAGAACTTCGACACAACAGAAACACAACATTAAAATGTAACACACACAGAACCGAACTAAATCTGCCTATGATGTTCAATTACCCCTGCCCTCAAAGCATGTGCAGTCCTTTTTATAACCCTTTCTCCTTATTTTGTATGAAATTTACAATATAGAATTAAGGATCACAGATTCAAAATCCTCTTTTTTAAATATATTTAATTCACAACATACTATCAAGCAGACTGATAATTAATTACTGTTACATGCATGGCCTAAATGTATTAAAAAAATTAATAAAGTAAAACAAGGCAGTTTATATTATGCGACGCTAATTAAAGTTTTCCCCGTCCTCTAATATACGCCCAGTTCATGGATAAGGCCTTGCATCTTTAAAACTATCATTTGAAACAATTTAAAAAAAAATGTATATCAAATTCATCAAAAATATGATTTGATAACTTCATCATCTGATTTGATGTTTACAAATAAATTGAAATAATGAAACCAATTTCAACTTGCCCTTTCAGAATCTAAAGGACTATGGGTAATTACATTGTAATTACATTACAAAATGAAAATAACGTCACTTCATTGGATTAATTTCCATTTTTTGGAGGGATTTTAACCAATCACAATGTTTTGGTGTACGCTTTTGGAAATGTTACCCAAAAATGCATTAGATTCTGAAACGGCAAATTGAAATACAAATGTACTACTGAAGTATTGATCCTTTGCCATGACAATAACTCTACATATTGAAGTGATATAGTCTTGGGATTTCAGATTTGTTTGCCATCTTATCTATATCCATGTCCTAAATTAGGAGTTAATTGTCATATATCTGAATATTTCCTGTTAGTTGGATAATTGTAGGTATAGTAGACCTTCATCTACATGTATATTCATTACTTTCAATGTCATAGGTTCAGATTATCTGATTGTTCTATTTATAGTAAACCTTATCTACTTACTAATTAAACAGCCCTCACTTGCGGACAAACTTGTTATTATTATTATTAAATTATTAAGAATTGAACTTTTGATTGCTGTATTTTTGTTAGCTGTGATACCGATATTTGTCAATATGTATCCGTCCGAAATGAGGAACTGCGTCAGTGGTTGTCATTATTTAGGATTTGAGTGTGTTTGTCCATTTCGGATTTTGGTGTTGATAGAGTATAGAGTTGACACCAAAGACTGTATGATAAAAATATATAGAAGACACAAACAATCCTCACTGATGACATTCAAAATTACCTTTCTATCCATAAAGACAACTAAATTATCCAAAGAAACTGGTTGACAAAGTGTTAAATAACGATGATGCAAGTATGCCAATGCAGCGGTAAGTTGTGAGACCAGACGAATACTCTCCTTAATGGTAAGTTTCCTCGTAGCAAACAGTTCTCTCAGCGTTATGTGCCTCGTCTGAAGAATCTGTGCATTGTTGATAAATACAGAAGCCATGCAAATTTCATCAGATGCATCTGAAATAGTATATCATTTTTAGTAGACATAAACAATTTGCAACATTTTGGTTTGAAGGACACAATCAATAAGCATTCACAAGAAAAAGACGGTAAAACCTCCTTTTTTATTTTTTCAAACTTTTAGAACATACCACATAAATGTTGGAGCATGCTTGAAATATTCCAGAAAAATGAAATGCCCAGTCAAGTAACAATACCTAAATACCAAAAGCTTTATCAGTTAATTTTCGTTTTTGATTATGACGTTTCTCCTCCGAAGTTATCTACAGCGTCACCTATGAGTATTTTATAGACGAAACACGCTTCTGGAGTACACATTTTCATCCTGGTATCTATGATGAGTTTATCAGTGCTGACATGAAATATCATTGATAATCATAAAGACCTGAGAATCAAAATGACTACTGCCTGGTTTAAAACTTTCTTCAACTTCGTTATTGATTTTGGCTGCCAATTGTTTGGATTCGAGTGCCACTGGTGATTATTGTTTAGACGAAACGCGTGTCTGAATCCTTAATGATAAATGCTTGTATCTTTGGTAACATTTCTGTTCTTACCTTTACGTCGGTCTTTAACTTTAGACATCTGAAATATTTTGCTAGACATCTTACCCAGAATATTGGGTTTCTACAAATGAGCAATCAAATATGAATAATTAAAAAAAAACGGTTTTAGATTAAATTCCTTGATATGCATTTAGCAGGTATGTAACAATAATCTATATACAATTAATGATTTAAGATCTGTTGTCCGATAACTGTAATCCCTTAGTGTAAGAAGCGGCTTGTACATAATGGATTTCCAGTTTTAATCAGACATATATAAGCCGATGTAATTGGTTACTGGTCATGCCGTTTTTCTCCTTTATGCTTTAGTTAAATAAGTATCAAGTTTAATTGCGCTAACTTATTTCACATACATTACGTCCATTCATCCGTCCAACAATTTTTTCTCGTCATGAAAAAATCGTCCCTTCTTCTCTCGTACTACTGAACAGAATGACGAGATGATAGTCAACAGGTGGACAGTGATGAGTTGTCACGTGTGAAAACATTTCAGATTTCAGAGGTACACTTTCTGATTGTCGAAACTATTAATTCTTCAATACATTTAATGAATTCGAACTCAATACACTTGTTACACATTTTTCCAGTAATTAAATGAAGGTATTCCATATAAGATGACATGAGGGAGTATGTTCCTTGTATAACAGTGCTTTTAAAAATGTATCAATTAAAACATATAATAATATGATAAGAGGTTTACTATAATAAAGTCAACAAGTTGTGTTTCAAAAAATATGAGACAAGAATAAAGAAACAAATATCAAACGGGACATGATATCATGCAACCGACAATCAAGGTCAGTCCGTGGGAAATTCAAATACCCCGGATAGAATATAGATTATGAAAAATAAATTTTCACAAAATTATATAAACATAAATAAAGCATTCTTTCAGTTTTAACTGTATGTTTTGTGTGAGGTCTGACTTGATAATGTTAATATAATTGTTTTTCAAAATAAACTTATCAATCACGGTAATAAAGTTTTACTTTGAGCAAATGTGTATTATTGTTAAGCATAAGTACCTGCTTTATTGTTGAAAACGTATAAAGAAAAGGGTTCAATGCTGCATTTAGTGGCATCACAAATACAGCTACCCAAGAATAAACTTCTGACGGAAATACTTGACCAGCCATTGCTAGTATACCTAAAAAATGAATAGAAAAATAGATCAATTTCGGTATTATGAAGATATTACCATAGTTCATTTACTACTAGTATGTCTTCATTTAAACTGAACTTAATGCAAATGCATTACATCTAATTAATAATATTATCGGTACCAATTATCTGCACCTGATGCTCATTTCGACAATAAAAGTTTCTTCAGTGATACTCGAGGCAAAAATATTTGAAAATCCAGAAAGCTATAAAAAGTAGAGCATAAGCCGAGCACGGAATTAGAGCTTTGCATGAGGGACAAATAAGCCAATTTTAGTAAATTTCTCTACTGATTCTTTGCAATCCAAGATGGCGTAAACAATTTTGATACTCCTTACTTTGACCTGATATATTGTCAAAACATTTGACGAACACCATTTACAGGAATAATTTCATTGGATATATAGCAGTTTGACATACATTAATTTTGATCATTGAGAAGCTTGATTTCTCTTTACTAATGGTATGTGATTAAAACGTTCAGCTGAATTTTAAAGATGTAAGTCCCTTAGGTGTTCTGTACCCATCTAAAGGTGTTAATACCGCTATTTTGTGTTTTACATATCAATTTTCGTACCTTGATTTATGGATGACTTACCCATTATTCCAACGGGAAACCAACAAAGAAAGTCCGTTAAAACAATTAAGAATAATCGTCTAGCCAGTGTTAGGTCTTGTTTTGTCCTCTTCGTCATTATTCTATTACTACTTTTAGCTATTTGGTAAATTGACAATTGGCACCAAGCTATTACAATAAACGCAGTACAATTGAAAAACACGAAAATAGCTGTTGAATATTCCCATCCGCTGACTTTCTGTCGGGAAAATGGTAAAGCCAAACAAACTGCTGTTCTGGAATAAAACATATTAGAAAAATATGCCGTTTCAAAAATCGGGACCACAGCTATAATTATTACAAATAACCAGCAAACCAAAGTCGAAACCTTTGCTGTTTTGTATGTTATCCTCCATCTGCCAAATGGGAACTGTACCATTAGATAGCAATCAAAAGTCGTTAACATGACGAAACAAACAGATGCCTCACATGAAATGGCCGCAAGGATACCTGCAAATTTACATACAGTACTATCTCGCCATTCTCTGTCATGTAAAATGTAGTTTCCAGAGTAGTACATATCAACAAAAGCAATGATCCCTAGGTACACACCCATCAACATGTCTGAAACACCAAGATTCATAATAAATAACCAATTTGCCTTAAATAGCAGCGTTTTTTCGTAGATTATACGATAAAGTATAACTCCAACATTTCCAATTAAGGCATTTATAGCAATAATCCATAGGCACCCTCGCAATACATCATTTCTCATCAAATCCCTACACGAGGAAAATTCGTCCATTTTGGGGAAACAATTCTCTGTGGAAACAGATTCTGGTTTTAAACAACAAAATATATAGGAATCAGTTTTCATTTGTGTTAAATGAGAAAGGCGAGAAAATATATCAGGAGAAAATTTTGTCACATCGTTTTGTCTCAAATCAATAGACAAAAGAGATACAAGTCCATCAAATCCGTTTTTCTCTACAGTTGTTAGTCCATTCCCTGTTATGTTAAACGTTTCAAGGTTTTCTAAACCATTAAAAGTCCCATTGAAAAGTTTTATTATTCTAGTTCCAGACAGTTCCAAATCTTTCACATTAGGTAATGACATGAACGTATTTGGTTTGATTAATCCCAGCATCAGATTGTCTTTTAAGTTTAAGGTTACTAGTTTGGTGAGACCATAGAACGTGTAACTTTGCAGAACCTTCAATTTGTTATTGCTCAAATCTAAATGAAGGAGGTTCATTAATTGTTCAAATGAGTATGGCATAATATTGTCAATGCTGCAGTTGAACAGTTTGAAATCAGCAAGATACGTATATGCAGGAACAATCAATTCATTATTTGGAAACAATGAGCTGCTCAAATCTAATTTTCTAGCTTCAATAGACAAATCCCTGAAAACTGTTTCTACTTCTTTTTGATGACATATAAATACTAAACCTTCACATGAACACCCAATAGGACATGTGACATAACATCCAACTTCATCATCCCCATGAGGACATTGTCTAATGTTGTCACAAACCTCATCAAATAACAAACAAGTGGTTGACTGCTGACATCTATATAATCCAGGACAGGTCAAATTTCCTGAAACCAATCATAAATAAAAACATCATCAAATTTGTATAAACTATCCCAAATAAAAAGATGATAATGATAAGTTGTGATTGAAAATTGAAAAGTTGATAAATTAGAAAAACCAAATGTCTAAATCTTAAGGGCATACGATACAGTAGAGATCCCTCGTTGATTTTTTCTTGAAATTTTGGTAGAAGGTCAATTTCGATGTGTACTTTTGAAATATGCAAAGAAAAATATACCTTCATGACTTACTTTTTGAGATAATTTGGTTCGAAATTTGCATATTTGAAGAAAAAACCCTGAAATTTCATAAATAAGGACTTTTAAGGAAAATACCAATACTTTGGAACGAACAGTCATAATTTAACCGGTTTTTTTGTAAAATTTTCCCTTGATCCATGGCATCAGTATGCTGTAACAAGTAACGGTTGCAATAAATAATTATATTCTAATTTCTTTTTATACAAGTGAAATAAAGAAGTCGATAATATTTTTGCGTCTAAACAGAAGTGCAGAAAAAATTCTATCGTTGATTTTTTCTTAAAATTTTGGCGGAGCGTTTTTAAACAGAATTTGATCGATTGCAAAAGAAAAAACTGGGGGTCCATGTGCTTGTTTTTTTCAATAAAAGCAATAAACCTTAATTTTTATTGGCAAATGGGACGTTTGCCAATAAGGCGCCAAACTACGTTGGAATAAGTTTTATTCGCAACAACGTCGTGAAATCTTTCCCGCCGTTCACTACTTCGTTGTCAATTTCAGTGGTAGAGCCAAGGTGGTTTTTTTTTAAACCAATGATATTAATCATGAAAATTAATAAAGCTGGCTCCTCGTAAAATAGCATCATATTTGCCAACCCTTTATGAATTGTAACGAAACTTGGATAGAAAAAGTATTCTAGTAAATTACTTTTAGAAAAGAAATGTTCGGACACAAAACAGATATATATAATAAAAAAATTAATTTGCATCTCTGTCCGACATCATGTAGACAACACAGTTTGAACATAGTTTTAATTATTCAAAAGGCCCCGACATGACAAAATGTGCAACAATTATAAAGTTAGGGGATGATATAAAAATAAGGACATTTGGTATGATTGCAAAAGAGATAACGATCAACCATAGTTCAAATGACGAAGATAAACGCTATTAAAGGTCACCCTACGGCCTTCAACACAAAAAAAAAAAAAAAAAGAAAAAGCCACACCGTATAGTCAGCTTTAAAAAGCCCCGACATGAAAATGTGAAATAATTCAAACAAGAAAACTTACGACCTACTCTATAGGCATTACATGAACACAAAATCATACCCACATTAAATCGGGTCAGCTTAGTCCATTACAGTGTAGTATAACATTTCATACAGCAGTCGATATTAGAGCATGAAATTTAATGATTCTGTTTCAATAGAGAAGTTACCTAAGCTTGTCTTCAGGGTATTTTTTTTTATTACGGTACATATAATCATTGAATTACTTGTCTGTATTATACCTTTAATCTAGGAGTGAGTGCAACCACATTGTTTGTCCGGTCCAACGAATATTTTGTTTCTTATCTGAGAAACTACTTTACAAAAAGGCTTCGTATTTGGTCAGTAACTTAACATCAATGAGTTGCAACTCTGGTCTGTCAAATACCTAATTCCTGTATGCCGATTTTTCTCTCTCAATATGTACATCGAGGATATGCTTAGCACATCAACGGGTGCGTTTTTGTTTTTGGTCTATAATACGGGGCTTATAACTG